CTCTGTAATCCATGTCAACGCAACGGGAGATCTCGAGCGGTTCCAAGAAACGTTTAACCCCTGGGACTACGCTGCGCCGCAGCCTGCCGAGGTAAGTTGTTCCGCATAATGGTTGTGGAAGACGTCGATATTGACCGAAGTGGTGACAGTTTTGTGACACTCAACTCTGTCCGCTTCTTCGGTTTGGTGAAGCAAGGGATTATTGTCCTCATTGAGTCCTTCGTCGGTCACATCAATCGGTAGAGCATCGAAGTCACGAACGAGCGCCCACTGAGTGATTGTTGAGAGGGTGACAGCGGAACAAAGAGGCGTACTAACCTTCCATCCATATTTGTATAGCGTATCCAGATCTTTACTGCCTCCTACATAGACCTCAACGAAACGTGCTACTCCTGGAGAGTCGAAATCTCCGTCCTCGCTGTGAGCACTGTGAGAGGTACCACTCTCCCCACTAGGGGCAACACTTCCTTCCTCATCCTCATTTGCATTTGACTTGTTTGAAGGGCTATATTTCTTGCTATTACGCCTACGAGGTTTGAACTTGTAATCGGGGTACTTCAAGGCGTGTTCTGCTTTAGCCTTCTTGGCCGCCGCGTACCATTTATCCTTTTCTTCAGGAGGTAAAGCCAACCACAATTGTTGAGCAACAACACCTATATTTTCTCCTTTATTTAGTCGATATGCGTACTCCTGCTTCTGAGGCCCATCTCGTAAGGATGACTTGAACGAAATGAATGCGTTACTCGGTCGCGGTGGTCTATCCTCGCGTTCCCAGCTTAGTAACCTTTTCCTCTTTGATTTCTTTCCAGATCGAGAGGGAGGTTTCTCGTTCGAGGATGTGGCGGATTTGTCTGGCAGCACCGCGGAATCAATTGTCGGTTCATCAGGAACTGCACTTGTGCTTGCAATAGTCTCTTCTTGATTTTGTTGCAGACGGGACCTGGCTTCTGAAAAGCGTGTTTTGGGCATGGTGCTTGATGGGATAGGGAAGGCAGACTCTAACTCGGAATCGACTCAGATTCTCGACGAGATCTACTGCCACCATTGTTCTCCGCAAACCCATTGTCCTCGATAACGCTTTGCCACTACTCGAATACGCTCAAGAGACCAGAATCTTTAATCCTAACAGAACGACTAACAGCCGCGTGCCATTGTTGACCGACGTGTATGTCTCAGATCGTCAGATCAGCCAAAGACGCCATGAAGCTTCCAGACTCTCACTGCACGACACATTATAAAGTACCTATGGGACGCTGATGTTTATACATATTACAGGAGAATAGATCATCAAAATAGTTCATGTCTGAGTTTTCAGAGCTGCTTTGAGTCGCTGCTGGAGTGAAGTCTCCGCGCTCGGTAGTTCATTAGAACGTCCGTCCGCACTTCGTCCTCTTGAGCGTTCTGGGGACCCTTTGGGTTCACTCTTTGTGGGAGACGCTATGGTAGGAGGCTGTGTCTGCACTTGTGTATCCTGGCTTGTATTTTCGCGTTGAGCCCCCTTTGCGGGCTCCAAGTGTATAAACGAAGGTTTCGCATCATCATCTTCGACCTCCTCTTCCTCTTCAATGAGTATGGCAACGCGGCACCACCTTCTGAAGCGAGTAAACTGTAGAATATCAATATCTTAGTAAAACAGCCGGCGTGTCAACGAAGATCTTACCTTGCCCATTCCACCTTTTCCGGCCGGGTTTTCCCACTTGTTGTCTCCGTATATCCATCCTTCCTGGTCCGTGAACTCGTGGTCTCCGCCTGTACCGGAGGATTGTGAACCTGGCGGATGGGAAGGGTCTTCCGGATGGTGGAACGATGAATTGGTAGGCGACTGCGTCAAGGTCAACTTGTCAGCATTCTTGCCTAGAATACCACTCTTGGCTTCTTCAGTTGGCGATTTCACTGTCGCACGCATCTTTTTCACAGTGTCGCCTTCCTTATGAACAATAACCTCCCATTCACTATTCTCTTCCCACTCCCATCGCGCTGTGCGACGTACAAAGCCTTTGCCAGTGCTTGATGGGAGTACTACGGACGTAGTAGGCGGGAGAGGGAAGGTCGCGGGAGGGGGTACAGGCACAAACTGTTGTTGCTGTTGTTGGCCTTGTGGGTTTGGATTTTTGGTTGTGCTCGCTGTAATTGGAGTCGGAGGCGCACACCATGACGGTCGCTCGCTAGGTAGCAAAGCCGCGGTCCAATCGATACCTACCCACCATCGCTGATTTTCGAGGATGGTAAATAGGAAGGCATGAGACGTTGATTTGGCTAACCCCTTGTCTGCTGCCTTGACCGCATCCTTTCCCGACGGAGAAGGCTTGCTCAGGAATATAGGTAGAGGTTGGGTCCCGGAGAGCCAACTGACGACGTATCTCCATGCGGCACGGACGTAGGCAGATCTGAAGAGAATCCTCCTTGTCGTCACTGCCCATGGGGCTCGGTATGTCAATAACATGGCCCCAGTGATAGCGACCAGAACTCGAAAAGGAATCCAGAACGTTAAGGTGATATAAACTGGTAGCAACATTCCTAGCATTCGCAGTCTCTCTTGAGGAGTGAGTGTTGCCGGTACAAGGTCATCGAACGATATATCTGGTCGCAAAGCGTGGATAGCATCCAGATTCGAAAGAGATGTGGTAAGTGCATCTTCTGTGGTGGCTTGCTTCTTGGTTGTTTTGAACCGTTGAGGTATATAAGGCACCATTAGAGGTCCGAGTATCAAGATGGGCAAGAGGGCATATCTGAACATGACAGGTTTAGCAAACATCTATGTAATTTTCGGTGATATGTTGCATACCGTAGAAACAACTCGCCATACAGACATACAGCACACCAACCAAAGAGCAAAAGGAAACTTTGCTCTGCAGAACTTTTCCAACTAGCGGCAGATAATATCCACCTGACGATTGATATCGAGTTTGCAAACTCTACCAGCACCTTTGTAACCGGAGCTGGAGTGCTGCTCACAAAGTAGTGTAGCGTAGCCGTGTCGCTCATCGGAGAGAGCTCAAACTTGTCCCGCTC